ATCTGTATCTCTGTATTGAGTGAATGAAGATGTTCCTGGTACAGTGCTTCTCCAGTGATAGGTACTGTCAACAGGAGGAGCAGGAGATACATTACAGGTAAGTACTACTCTATTCCCAATTGAAATAGCATCAGTATCAGTGTCAATGGTCACGCTGTAGTGAATAGGAGACTCTGTGTGTATTGTACATATAAGCATAATTATTAATATTAAAGTTACCTATACACATAACTCCAACATCTTTAGCATGATAACAGTTGGTTGCTCCTATACCATTAACATAAGAACACTGAGTAAGACTCTCTTCATTGCCAGTACAATCAACTCCTGTCATGTGAACTGGTCCAGTCCCTCTTCCAAAGTATTCATTAGTCACTGGTATTGCTCCTACACACATCAAATAATTAATCATCATGAATGAGACTATTAACTTACTCAATGTATGATGACCAACTTGTGTACATGCTACTAGAGCATCTCTTTCATCCCATCCAGTACTACACACTGTACCCCAGTATCCATTGAGACATATCTCAACTCTACCTTCTCTTGAATCACCCCCATTAGATAACCGTATTGATCCTTCTTTGTCACAATAGTCTAAGACACAAAAACTTGACAGTGAATGTCACATGAAGCTCACTTTCAGTAACATTGTATTGACAAGTTACTCCACCTCGTTTCTGATTAAACCAACTATTGGCATAATATAATGAAGGTGAGTTTTTTGAACATTTACTCAATTTATTCTCAGTTCCAGTACACACATATCTATAACCAACTCTTTCATTCTTACCACTCCAGCTAGTATCAGTAATTGCCACAGACCCTACAATAGATCACATACAATAGATGATATAATGTTATCCTTACAAGTATCATAATATCCTAATTGTCTGCAAACAACTTTAGCATTATTATAATTCCAGTATCTTGCATCAATTGTCATCCATATACCATCAGTACATATCTCTACTCTTCCTTCATTATCTCCTTCTCCATCAGTTAGGTGAATTGTTCCATTGCTACAATTTACTACACCTGCAGCAATGCAGATCTATTTATTGGTTTAGCTATGTTTACTTGAACATGTGAATCCAATTGCTTTACCACAGTAAGAATTGGAAGCATAATTATGACAATGTATCAGTGAGTTTTCATTCCCACTGCATGAGAATCGGATTCGTTTTTCTGGAGCAACATCCTTATTTGCACCAAAAAATGAATAATATGAGTATGAAACCCCTTTAATGAAAAAAGATGTTACATAATTTTAATATAGTAGACTTACAGTTAGTATCTTGATAACCCAGCTGTCTACACACAACATTTGGTGGAATCCACCAATTGTGACACACAAAAACCCACACTCCATTATAACAAATTTGCAAATCTCCTTCAGCATTAGACTGTCCCCCATACAACTTGATTTCACCATGAGTACAATTACTTATATCTGCAAAATAAGTAAAGGTTATGCAACGAAGTGAGGTATGATAAGGCCATAGACACCGACACAGAGTTGTATAACCAACTTCTACCATGTACTAAAAATAAACAACTACCTTTACTTAGCAACACTTAGCAATAGCATGCCAGGCCATGCCTATTAAGCAGGAGGTTAATAAGTAATTTCCCAGGCAAACTTATTAACCTTCCAGGCAAACTTAGTAACCTCCCAGGCCACTTATTAATCTCCTACTGTCCTGGAAATTACTTATCAAACCTC